GTGCTTCTCAATAAAGACATGTCACTCCTACTAGGAATTTCAAGTTCAGAGTAATAACAACATCCCTCTGGGGAGTAAAAACTATTAATTTTAGTTTAACAAATGCTTACTCATAAATCCTTATCTATATAAAAATGATAAATCGATTTGTATGGAAAAGAAGTATGTCATTAGGGTGAATTAAGCTACTTACTAGTTACGACAAGATGACTTCCATATGCAAAACTCTCCTACTTTTGCTCAACTTACAAAAGTAGGTAGCATCATAAAGCAAATCTGCCAACTCAAAAGTTAAACACACCACATATGCACACAAATCTTGATAAAGAAATAAGTCAGCAATGACATTAGTGTACTGTAATTGAGCAGACAGCTAAAAGAAGACATTTTCAATACCTTTAGGAGCAAGAGAAAAAGATATATATTGATGGACTGATGCAAGCAAAGGGATAAAAATGAAAATAAAGGGAGAGGTTGAACATGCATTGCACTTTGATTTTTGAATATATTTTCAAATTTCAATCCACAAAAAGATATCATCCTGACAACCTTTTTCTTCTTGGTACAAAAGAAAAGTCTAAAAAGCACACACATGATCTTTTTTGGTTGTTTCTTCTGACCCATATCTGACTCATGCAACAATCGGTTAAAAGTCATCAACTCCTCCTCAAACCCTTATATATAATGCTACAAGGAATGTTCTTAAACCATCAACCAATACATAAATATATCACAATACAACAATATTCCTGCACAAAATCAGAATCACAAAGAAGAACTTACTCAGTGGAACTGTGATGGGTATTCCCATGAGTTCAGCAGTATGCTCGCTTGAAAAGCAGTATGCTCGCTTACTCAGTGGAACAAATGAAGACCATATTATTCCATATGCAACTTCAAAGAACTTATCTAAAATAAATCAAAGTGAGTATTCTCCGTCTCTTGATGAAAATTAACTTGATCTTGTAAGTATGACCCTTGTATGAAGAGATCATAAAAAAAGAATCTTGAATATACAGGAAAATCTGTCATTGGTAAGATGAACGAATTGGGGAAAAGGATGGACTGTCTTGCACAAGGAATCCGTGAGCATGGTAAGCACTTATTGTCTTCNGTCTTTATAAAAGACATGAAAAGATTTATTGAAAATATTACTAAAGACAATATCTTGTTTAAGTTGAAACAAAAAGTATTTGTAGCTGAAGCTGAAAAAGAGTATTTGGAAATTGAAATTGAGTGCGGACAAGAGTCCTACTTGAAAAAATATTCAAGTTTTGTGAGTGAAACTATTATTTACTTGAAATGCTACTCAGACAATTTTTTTCAATATTTCACCTGTATTTCAAATGCTAAAAAGTTCACTATCTGCGAACACTAGTGTAAATCTAGAGAATACTCATAAGTGAGCCATGAGGTATAAATTTCATGCAAGAAGCACAATTTACATGTATATCTGATATGAAGTATTGATTGTAACGTCCTTTAATTGTGCAGTGAGCCCAAGCCCGAAACTAACAGAAACTGTGAAGGGAAAATTGAGCCTTGGGGCATAAATTCTTCAAGTAGGAGGGCTGGAAAGAATATTCAAGCAGAAGTTTAGTGTTAAAGATGATGAAAAGCAATTGAAGGTTTCTCAATGCTATTTATCAACGACAGCTGGTCCAGTGGCAGGCCTTCTCTTCATCTCTACTGATAAAATTGCTTTCTGTAGTGAGCAATCAATAAAGCTCTTATCTCCAACTGGAAAGTTGCTTAGAATCTGTTAGAAGGTACCTTGTTATGGTCCCTAATTTTGGATCGAGTCACTGGACGATTAACAGGAAAGTCAGGCCTAACACAAAGGTTTAATCCCTTGTTCTTGTTCCTAGACTTGCCTATGATTGCCGTATTTGCAATTCAATCAGGGAATTGCACACCTGGGAACTTGTTTGAGAAAAGTTCCAAATCTCTATGACTTGAAGAAATTCAACCTACTTTTTTTCATAAGCGTCAACTCTCTTAAATAGAGGTTACAAAGCAATAGTCCTATCAAATAAGAAATAGCAAGAATCCTAACTTAGAAAAGAGTCCTAACTAAAAGAGATAACAAGAGTTCTAAATCACTAAGGGAAGTTTTATTCAAAGCTGACAAAATAATTCAGAAAATATCAATCATTATCTATCCTATTAATTCTTGCGTCTAGTAAATTGTCTGCCAACAAATGCATCCATAACATTACTCCCTTCCTAGAGAAAAAGCTTGTCCTCAAGCTTGAAGTCTGGAAAGGCAGATTTGAAATGATCTACATTCTCCCAAGTGGAATCCTCAACAGAGAAACCACACCACTGAACCAAAAGTTCCCAATTACCACGATTCAGACGGGAGCGAAGCACAGAGCAAGGGGTAGGAACAATGCGTCCTTCTTCAATTGGTGGAAAAGTAGGTAGAGTTGCAGGTATCTCACCCTTGAATGGCTTAAGAAGTGACACATGAAACACATTATGAAGCTTGCAACGTGCAGGTAGATCAAGTTGATAAGCTACAGATCCTATGCGCCTCAAAACTGCAAAAGGGCCATAAAATTTTGGTGCAAGTTTATGATAGACACGGCTAGCCAGAGGTTTTTGGCAATATGGATGTAAACGTAACCAAACATACGATCCCGGAGAGAATTCCACATCACGATGTCCTTTATCATAAACAGTCTTCATCTTATGTTGCGATGAAGTTGCGAAATTGGTATCAGAGCTTGTCACGATGGACGAAAAATCTGTAGAAGCAAAGTTGCGAAATCTTTTCGAGGAAGCCCAAGCTGAAGCTGAAGCAAAAGTATCAGCTTCAGATGCGAGGACAGACGCCAAATTCCAGCAACTATCGCAACAGATTGAAGCCTTAATCCGCACCGCGACGTGTATGAAGGGAGTTGAAGTTGGAGATAATAGTGTTGTTGCTGCCCATCGAACTACTAATGCAGGTGAACATTCAGATCTTCATCTAGGGAGAAGAAATAACATCAATTCTGGTATTGATGACATCATCGGAGGAAGAGGTATAGTACCTAGATATACTAAATTAGATTTTCCTACTTATGATGGAATTGAAGATCCTCTTATTTGGCTTCACCGTTGTGAGAAATTCTTTGCTAACCAGCATACTGCCAACCAAGAAAAAGTAGGGTTAGCTTCTTTTCACATGGTCGGGGAGGCCCAATTATGGGTTTATCAACTAGAATTGGAGGAACCCAATTTAACGTTGGGTGTGTTCAAAGAATATTGTACCCTTCGATTTGGCCCACCAATGAAAAGTAACCCATTAGGAGAGTTGATCAACTTGAAACAAACCAGTTCTGTGGAAGAATATTAGAGAAACTTCCAAAACCGGTTGGCTCATGCTTCATCTGTGCGCATAGACCAACAAGTTGATATGTTTACAGCAGGGTTAGTTGATTCAATTCGTCTTGATGTTGAAATGCATAATCTATCTAACTTAGTGCAAGCAATGAGTCTGGCAAGAGCATTTGAGAAGAAAATACAGATTTCTTCTGCAACACAAAGGGGCAATGGTTCAACCTCAAACGACAGTGTTAAAGTTGCCGGTACAGCAATGACCCCAACTGCTAAGACTACTGCTTCTTCTTATCCTTTTGTGAAAAGGTTGACTCGCACCGAGATGGCTGCCCGGCGTGCAAAAGGATTGTGCTACAATTGCGATGATCCTTAAGTTGCAGGCCATCAATGCAAAAAGTTATTTTGGCTGGAAATAGAGGATGGAGAATCTGAGGATATAACAACGGAAAACGAAGAGCCTGCCATCTCACTGCATGCTATCACAGGCAAACAACATGCAAATACTATGCAATTGCAAGTTGTAGTTGATATGAAGTTGTTGCTTAACTTAGTGGATTCAGGCAGCACACACAATTTTATTAGCTCTGATACCAAATTGTTATGGTCCCTAATTTTGGATCGAGTCGCTAGACGATTAACAGGAAAGTCAGGCCCAACACGAAGGTCTAAGTCCTTGTTCTTGTTCCTAGACTTGCCTACGATTGCCGGATTTANCTGTTATGGTCCCTAATTTTGGATCGAGTCGCTGGACGATTAACAGGAAAGTCAGGCCCAACACGAAGGTCTAAGCCCTTGTTCTTGTTCCTAGACTTGCCTATGATTGCCGGATTTGCAATTCAATCAGGGAATTGCACACCTGGGAACTTGTTTGAGAAAAGTTCCAAATCTCTGTGACTTGAAGAAATTCAACCTACTTTTATTCATAAGCGTCAACTCTCTTAAATAGAGGTTACAAAGCAAGAGTCCTAACAAATAAGAAATAGCAAGAATCCTAACTCAGAAAAGAGTCCTAACTAAAAGAGATAACAAGAGTTCTAAATCACTAAGGGAAGTTTTATTCAAAGCTGACAAAATAATTCAGAAAATATCAATCATTATCTATCTTATTAATTGCGTCTAGTAAATTGTCTGCCAACAAATGCATCCATAACATACCCCTCCTCTGGTTTTCTTTCAACTTTAATGTTCTAGCCATGTAAAGCATAATCTAATAGGTTGGTTAACAATTGCAGGTACTGATCCCAATAAGTAAGACAAAGAAAGCAAAAGAGAGCGAAAATAGGGAAAAACTATCACAGAAGTATATTTAAGTAGTTACAGAGGATGATTTTGAGTTCTGGTTTATGGGATTCCTTAATCATCAAAAGACTTTGAGATATCTGCAGCAGCAGGCAATTTCAAGCTCTTCAAGCAAGCTAAGAAGATAGTTATTTCCTCCTTTTTTTTCATTTTGTTTCCAAATTCGCCCATTCATCAATGTAAAATGTTGATGCAGAAACGAATTTACAGATCTGTTCAAACTTGTAACTAGCTCCATTGCTCAAAGGAGGTTTTAGGTTTTGTAGGTTTTGAGCCTTGGGAGTTAATACTGTACAGATTTATTGTAAAACTAATGTAAAGAGAAGGCTAATTCATGTCTTGGCCACAGTTATCCAACCAAAATTCTAGCATTGAGAGTTAAATCACGTGTTATTAATTTATTATAGTAGGAATAGCTTAAATCAAGCTAAATAAGACTTACCTTGAAATCGAGATGAAGTGGGGAGTGATTTCATCTTCTTGGACCGAGTTTGAGGTGTGGGAGTTGAGAAAAGTGATAAATCGTTGTAGTTGCACATCCGAATAGCTTAGCTGCGATCGCAGGCCTTGTGCACTGATCGCAACACTAAAGATTTCAGATCCCAGAAAGAAAGCTGTGATTGCGGTCCTTGGGGCCGTGTTCACAATTTAT